TGCACGAAGAAAAGACTGCGATCTCCAATTCTCAACGCTTTGGATTCTCTACACCACAACTCACGGATACAAACGCGATCTAGGGTTTGAAGAACGTGACGGCGAGGAACCTTCCTTGAACAATACGCGTCCTTTGCACATGAAACAAAGATCCCTTACAAGGCTTTAGCCCATGATATACAAAACAAGAGGCCTAGATCACCAATTTAAATGATGACTTTAGCCCAGCTAAACAAAAATCTAATCTGTAACTTCATCTAATCTGCCAGCCTTGTCCAAAACCATTGTTGAGAACTCCTAAACTGAACAGCTTCAATAAGCTCCACATAGATCCGCCTTCAACCATTATCCTTGAGCTACATCTCCAATTGCTCCCACCTTCGGTCACTTTTCTCCATCATAAATACACATATCAAAAAGATCTCAAGGCCCATAATTATATATGGAATTAGAGCAAAATTTATGGAGAGAGCTTCACTATCTACAACAGATTGAAGATTTATAAAGGGAGAGAACCGGACTAAGCCGGAAAAACACACCGGATAAACCGGAAAGCCGAACCGTTGAACGGAAAGCATAGATCTAAACAACAAAAACACAAAGAAAGAAAAATAATATGAACCCGATACCAAATGTCAATGTTTAAAAAACTAGCTCGCACACCGACTCGCATTTTCATTAGATAGCTCGTCGAACCCGGTTTCTTAAAATTCTTTTAATTTTAAATTGAAGAAGAAAACACTCACAAACAATTTTAGTATCACATAATTTTCTCTTAATTTTTAGTCCAAAAAAAATGTGAGAATAAAAACTCCAATAACCTTTGAAATAAAGATTTTCGTTTGCTGACAAGGTCGCCACCACTCGAGAGTAGGATCATTGGCGTGGAACAATCACATCTTGACAACTGGAGGAATGGACGGACAGATCATCAACAACGATGTGCGGATCAGGTCAAACGTTGTGGAAACATACAGGGGTCACACTYAAGAGGTTTGTGGGCTCAAGTGGTCTGAATCARGGCAGCAACTAGCTARTGGTRGCAACGACAATCTGGTACACATTTGGGATCGTTCCAGGGCTACACAATGGCTGCACAGGCTCAGGGAACATACGTCTGTAGTAAAAGCTCTGGCCTGTGTCCATTCCAAGGAAATTTGCTTGCAACCGGTGGTGGCGAACAAGATAGGATGGTAAAGTTCTGGAACACTCACACAGGGGCTTGCTTGAATTCAGTAGACACTGGTTCCCAAGTTTCTTCCTTGTTATGGAGCAAGAAGGAAAAAGAGTTGCTTAGCTCACATGGGTTTACACAGAATCAACTTACTCTCTGGAAGTACCCATCAATGGTGAAAATGGCTGAGCTCACTGGTCATAGATCAAGAGTTTTATATATGACACAGAGTCCGGATAGTTGTACAGTAGCTTCAGCAGCAGGAGACGAGACTCTGAGGTTATGGAATGTTTTTGGAGTACCTGCTCCAAAAGCAGTTTTTGATCCATTTTCTCATGTGACTCGTATTCGTTGAAACTGTGAAGGCTACTAGGAAAGCCATTGATCTATAATCTATTCGTGTTCATTAACTGTATCGGAGAGTAAAACGTACATTGTTTAATTTCATTCATCGAAGTTGTTGAGTCAAACTTGAATGCTTGTAAACATTGAATAGAAACATTTGTATTTGACATTTTATGCCTTCCGATTACATAAGTTTCAAGTTGAAGAGTGTAAAATGAAGTTCATGAGTAAAGGAAAGAGCTATTCCTTATGGAGGAGACCATTCTTGTCTTGAAGAGGGAGCCACATGCATAAGCTCGGTTCGAACCTTCTCCACCTCAGCTTCAAGTGTACGTAGCTTGTGTTGTAAGACAGTAACTTGTTGATCCTACGAAAAAGAATAAAGAAGAGGAGACAATGATGTAAGAAAACCCTTTAAAATAAATCCGTAATAAGACAACATATTGTAACTGAGACAATTAGTGTCTGAGATTATAAAAACGTAGCACAACTTGGAAGCTTTTATTAAAAATTAAAACTAAACCCTAAACCTAAAAATTATATGTTACCTGAATATTCTTTGACGGATTTGTATCTTTAGTGAAAGAAGAAATTTGGCTGTACGGGAATGGACGACGATCAATGAAGCCGTAAGAGGAGCTGAGAACTCGATGTTTCGTGACAGAACGCGGAGATTGAACCCCCAAACAGAGCCAGGCGCGTGGAAAAAAGTCATCGGAGAGTCGAGCGTGTGGACAGGGAGGGAGGGTTTGATAAGCTCGACGTAGACGATGATTTCAATTATACTTTATATAGTTTACTAGATTAAGCACCAACATATATGCGGATTCTCTGTAATTTGATCTCTTATAAGCAATGGCGGAAAGAAAGTTGCTTAATACAAACCTTGGCGAATAACAAACCTAACCAGTAACCACATAATAATAAGCGTAGAGGGTTTAAGAATCACATCTCATAGGAAAGCTTTCCCCGTTTCAACACAATCTTTTGAACAATCCAAAAACTAATAGATATGGTTTTCTTGCAGTAAGAAACATACACACACATGGTCTAAAGTAGGAAAAGAGAAAAAAGGAAAAACATATTTTGTTCTTATAACATTCTAGTAATAACATTATCTTCTATGTAAAGAGAATGATACTTTGTTTACATGCCACCACCAACTTCCTTCACGGCACAGATCTGCTCCTCACCCATGGAAGACATGACATACACCACAACATCCTTACCCTCCTCGAATGCAGTCTTCATTTACATTTGCAAAAACCCACACAATTGTTTTCAATATCACACCATTGTAAAGATAAACAAAAGTCAAGTGTGCATGTATGGAAAGGCTAAGAAACTCACCAGAGTAAGCAGACTATCATCAGTGGGAAGCTTGAGATCATCCTTAGTGCCATCATTATGCTAACCTATGATGTGAACAAATAAAAATTGTCAATTTCAAACATATCCAGAGAGAGAAACAAAGTTGGACTGATGAATAATGTGCGTATGAAAACATACAAAGCCATCCTCGGATGAGTCAATCAACTAAACTAAAGAAACAATCTCAAATGAGATCATGAACCGATCTTGGATTGTTTTGTTGGTTGTGGGTGTAGCTTGGAAGAGGTTTGTGTATAAGGGTTTAGTTATATAAGCTACGGAGTGGAAGGTCATGGAGGAGTGGCTAGTAGCCATTAAAACCATTGAATTGCAATGACTAAGAGGACAATAAAGATGAAGGACTGGTGAGGTCAAATTTATGAGGTATCCGAAGAAGAATCGCGAGTGATTGGTAACGGTTTCTGATTTTTTCTAGGGTTCGAAGGGGGATCGTGGTGAGGAAGAAGACGACATTTGGGCTTCACTTTTTGGTTTCATTAGAGCACATCCAACCACTAGAACCTCTCACGGTATCTTAATATATATATAAGTGTTGAACTTTTTTCTTGATTAGGGCTAGGGATTTGACGGTGGCAGAGGAGAAGGAGAGAGCTTGGGTACATCTCCAGTCGTTCGATTCCAAGCAGCCATACTCCGTTTCGATTACAAATTTGAGTCGTTTTCCCGAAAAAATGTAGAAATAGAAAGCCCAAAGCGGAGTTTTCTCATTGTTTGGAATCGAGAAAAGTCGACTTTACTACATTTTTATCACTACGGAGAAATAGAAAGCCCAAAACGCGTTAGGGCAAATTCGTAACTACAACCCTAGATTTCCCAGCTATAAATACCTTGAGTTACTCCAATTTTAGGGTACGTTCTCTTTAGTCTCTCTCTCGCTCAGGATCGTAGCCGCAAGACTCCTCACAGATTATTACTTGCAGGTTAGAAAATTCTCTTGTCTTTAGGGTTCCTGATCTTCGTCATCTTTACGATTATTCTTGCTGTGTTGTTTCTGTCTCCGTTGTTTAGATTATGATCTTAAGCTTTGTTTTGACTGTGATTATCGCTTACTCGATTCGCYTAYACTGTTTTGATTCTCGAGTTTAAGATCTGATTAATCATCGATCTATCTGCTTGCATAAGTCTGATGGCAGAATCCTCTTTTTYACATATAGCGTTTACTTGTTCACATCGTCTGCTAGGGTTTTTGAGAATCGGATATGCTTGTATCGTCGCATGTTGTGATTGATTATGGTTGCAGATTCGTGATGCGTTTGGTTGATGATGATTGCTATATTCGGTAGATTTGTTGTCTTGTGGTTAGATCTTTACTTCGCAAGACGAATGATCTGCTCAATTGTTTGTTTAATTGTGCGATTCTCAAAAGAAATTAGGGTTTTCGAGGACGATTTGATATCTTCGCTGTTCGGTCCAAAGCATGAAAGCTATAAAAGTTGAATCTTGAATTGTGGATTGATAGTCAAATGTATGTGTGTAGCTGTCATGCTTTGGATTGAAGCATGAAAGCTATAAAAGTTGAATCTTGAACCGGGTCTGGCTTGAATTAAGAATATCTCGTGTCTATTTCCATCATATCTAATATCTATCTTTTGTGTATATATATCTCTAGATTATTCCTCCTGTCCTGTATAAGCTTGTATATATCAAAATATGTTTGGTGTTAAGAATTTTTTAATAAGGTCACTAATACAAGTTGTCATACACCTACGCCAAATTAGCGAGTGAAATGATGGGATTCGAGTGGTTAAAAAACCAAGTCATATAATATGAACCAGTTGTAAACTGTAGTATAATTATCGCAACTTGTTATTGTAAACAGCTACACACATACATTTGACTATTGTAAACTACAAATCTAGCCAGACCCGGTTTTATTAATATTGTATGGACTGGAAACAAAAAAATATAAATCATGTGGACATATATATAGATATAGTAGGGACTAGTCAACGGTTTGATGAGGCAAACCCGACCGATCCTAATACGGTCTATGATGGATGGGGCATAAATCAGGCATGGTCCGGCACACAGAGAAAAGCAAATCGAATTCATCAAGGTTATTAAATTTTGGTCGAGAATCATTTTAAATAGTCTCTTCTCAAGTTTATTTACTTGTAATGTGCTACATAAGATCGCCATTAGAAGTTGAGCAGAGTGTCCTATAAGGTTCTTCTGAGAGTACTAAGAATATAACAAAATGATTATTAGACCCAAAAAGACGAACTAACCAACAACGTTTTTACAAGCACCACAAATTAGAAAAACAAAATCCTGAACTTCGCCTCAAAAGAAACAACAGTTGTAATGTCAAGATGATGATTAATGGAACCAACACTAATGATAAAGGAAATCGCAGAAGCGAAGACACAGGAAGATGAAGTGAAGAGTTACCTTGTCTTCTCTTTTTTTGCTTGTTTAAATATTTAAACTTTTGATATGGAGATTTTTTGAGGTGGTGTTAGATCTTTCTACTTACAAAAGTAGTAATTGGTAAGCTGTCTGCTGCTATTAATATTGACTGAGAAGGCTGTATGATGGCAAATCTTCAAGACATGTTACGTCTTCAACCATAATCTCTCTCTCCAATTGCCGTCTTGATTTCATCACCGTCTGTTATTCACACAATTACCATAATTCATTCATTTTGTCAACTTATTGTTTAGGCCAAGATAAAGCACCAAGACCAAGTCAAATATCCATGTTTCTTCGAATCTAAATCTTTTAGCGACATTAGAAAAGGTTGCAGAAATTACTTACGTTAAATTCCATATATGAAGCACGCATGGAGAGCCATTGCTGATCCATTAGCTTGAAGGCAATGCAATACAGAAGGTCAAATGCTGATTCATTCACTGCTAACAATACAAGTCCAACGACCCACGCTTAGTAATCTAACTCGTCACAGAGAACAATGAATTAAATTTAAGCAGCATTGTCTGAGAATTACCTGAAAGGAATCTCAGAAATGTTTCCCCTG